TGCCAGCACTTAGCTCCAAAAGAGTAACATGGAGGGTCACTTCTGTGGAAGGCTATTTGCCCTTAACTATGCGGCTGTATAGTTGAGCTCCCCAGCTTATTAGAGAGGCATCTGTAGCAGGGTGGTGAGTCTGTGTACTGTGTCAAGGATGGTGCTACCCAAGTTAATGCTCTGGTTCAATTAAGAGAACCTTGAAGAATAACCTGGTGGACAGTTGGTTCTGATAATGGTCCTGGCCTAAAGGTAAACTGTAGGAAATCTACTTGTTCTAGAGCTGGAATAATGGATGTTAATGTGCCCATCTTGATCATCTGCCTCTTCCTGTACTTAATGCCCTTAAATAGCATGGGATTTCAACCTCCCTTTATTTTGAGGATCAGAAAATAATGGAAGTAAACTTTCTTGCTTCTAAGTTGAATCAGGACTGGTTCAGTTGTCATGACAAATTGTATATTTCCTGATAAAGTAAGTTCTCATGAGAAGAGTTCTTGAAAATGGAAGGAAAATGGGAAGGAGAGCTACAGTGGGGAAGGGAAACAAATTGAATGGCGTAACTCATAAATAATTCCCAGGATCCATCTGTCAGAGGTCATGTAATTGCTCTGAAATAGGGTCAGGCAACTTCTGAAGGGGTGTGATAGGTGTGAAGATGGCAGCTGATGTTTCAAGATTGAATTGTTCAGGATTTTGACTGCCCCATGAAAAGTGCTTAGAAGAAGTGGCTTGAGAGGTAGCGGACTGAGTTGCAGACTACTTTCACTTGTGAGCCCTGGTCCTCTTACGAGCTATGGTGTAACAGTGCTGAGATGGTGGGTATTGTGTGGCTAGGGGAGGGATATTTCTTTTTTTCTGCCCTACAAGGTAGATTACTAGGGATTGTAATGTGACCCAGGAATGGGGAGAAGAATATGTCTTCTCCACGAAAGAGTTTGGGCCCTTCAAACTGGAACTCTTCTTCAAGTCTTTGGGAAATCCAGAAATGTATATTCAAGAAGCTTTATCCTCTGTATCACTGTCTTGAAGACCGGGCTGGCCACTGTATAAACTACGTACAGTGCTGTCTCTAGCCCCAATCTGGTTATTAACTGAGCCTCTTAAAGGATTACTACTTTTGTGTCTCCAGTAAATGTTCCAGAAATTATCTGAATTTCCCATAATTACTTAAATTATATTTGGCCATAACAGTTTGGTAATTAGCAATTCTAAACAGTTATTTCAGCATCTTGCCAAACCTGACTGTATGAGGCTGGCAAGGTCTGCAGCAAAACCTCCCCAGCACGTAACCTGCCTAAGAATTGCAACCTTGTGAAAAATCAGAACTGTGTGTGGTAATTTTGAGAAGAGAGTGCAGCCAAACATCCCAGAGTAAGGATATTTTTGTATATATTTCAGAAAAGCAGACAAATTCATTCAAAACAATGTAACTTATAAATTCAAAACTTCATATGTAACTTCTGTCATTTCTTGCAGGAGTTTTCCTCAGTCTACTAATATTACCTTTTCTCTATTCAAATTCTGTGTCAGCCAGATAGCACCTATCATAATTACACACTGAGCAATAATACTCTTCAAGTCTAATGAAATCTCAGTGTTATCTACATTTTGAAATCACAGAAGCTCAATATCTACAATATCTTCCCCAATCGCCTCATACATTTAACTACAGTGCTGAGAGCCTAGAAACCATAATGTATCTTGTGTACAAACTCTCTGATCAGTAAAGATTCAATATCACTTTTGGGTCCTCTATGGAGGAAACAATGTTCTTTCAACAACAGCAGCTTCTACCTCTTCTGATGTTTTCAGGCTTGTCAACAATATTTTCATGAATAATATCAAAGACAACTAAGCATGGGTGACGAGTGAAGCTGCTACTTGGGAGAGGCAAGCTTCATAGCCTGTGGCCACATCCTTACTCCACTCCTGTTGTGCCCAGACCATGCCCTTTCCCTATTGCTCTCTCCCCAACTCATTGTTTCCCTCTTCACCCATTCCAGGCAAATCCCTGAACTCAAAAGTAGCAAATGACTTCTGGAATACAGCCATTCTTCTAAAATTTATTTCTAAAGAAAATGGACCATGTTTTCCACTGCATGTCAGATTTAATACCACCTTCTCAATGAAACCAAGGTAACTTAGATAAAAAGCACTAAATTTAGGAATAAAAAGGTCAAAGGAATTGGCTACTGTCGGACGACAGGATGGACTTTTGGTCTGATCCAGCATGGCCGTTCTTATGTTATGTTCTTATGTAACATTAAATATTATGGAATACATGATGCAGCCTTCTCTATTTTACATTTTCTTTATCAGTATTTCTAATCTGATTTTGTATTTTAAATATACTTTTAAGCTTTCATAAAGTAATCATTCCGCTTTACTACATATTTAAATTCAATGAAACAAAGAATTTATATTAATCAATCAGAGCAGGTTAGTATATTTATAACAAAGTTCGCTGCTTTTAGAAAAAGAAAACACTAATTTATTTTGTGTGATTTTTATAACAGGACAGGTTTATGAATTTCATTATTTGTTTATGTTAAAATACGTTTCCAAAGGTTTTAAGCATATCATATCTTAGTATTGTACTGATTTTGGTGGAGGGTTCTCTTAAAACTTGTTTATCAAATAGTCAGAAGTAAAAGAAACTCTTTTGTCCAGCTTTCTAGAAGAAAATGACTATCGTCTCTTTAAGGGCACTCTTCAATGGGTGTGCATAGGGATGGAAGAGTGTACTTGATTAACCCATAAGCAAAAGCTTATAGATTAATGCTATACACTACATGAATTTCCCCCGACCCCCACCAGTAAATTTATTTTGCTCCTGACTTGGCTGGGTCCAGGACCTACCTCTGCTATGGCTCTGCATTTACACTGTATTAGGAGCTGGGTGGGCAGGCAGTCCTGCTCAGCTCTGGCTCATGCTGGGTCCAAGAACTCAGACCCTCCCCTGAACAGGGGCTGCTGCTATCCCATACAGAGGGCTCCTTGGGAGTGGGACTGGGGACCTGCCCCGGGAACAACAGAATAGTTGAATAACCAATAAGAATTTTCTACCCCTATTTCCTTAGTTCTCTTATCAATCTCAGGTCTCTCTTGCTCTCTCACCAGAACCATCTAGAAAACATTTTATTTTATTATCTTCCATTGGTATGGCAGAGAAAAGTATTTTCCCCTTTATATTATTATGGCATTGAGTTATTATGAATATGCACTGCTTTGAATGCTTTGCAATACACCAAAACTGTGTACTCCATTTACTGAGTCACAATCAATTACTGTTATAAAATGGTAAGAAGGCACTCAGACAAAAAGGGAAAAAAAACCCAAAAATGAATACATACACAAACCACACACATTCTAGAGATTGGTATAAAGAAATACTTTTAGGTTTTTTAAAATTATCTTACTGAACTGTTCTATTTTTCCTATCCAGTTAATATAGTTAGACCACATCCACAGTCGTTGTGAAATGATGGCACCACATTGTGTCTCATGACAATTAACACAACAACAGTTTTGTGTTATACTTTTGTAAATACAAATAAATCAATAACTCAGTGACGTGTTTGAACCATGTTTGTATAGAACAATAGAAATTGATCTTCTAATACAGTTTAATCTATAGCATTACAAGGTTTATGATCTTGATATCCTCCACAGTACTGGTTTACAATACTGTTAGTCAAATTTTGGTCATGCTCAGGTTTCTACTCAACAGAGGAGCAAAATAAAATTTTAATTAAAAATATCACCATATGTATAAAACTTCTGTGTTTTTTTCTGAATATAAAATGCTAGTTAGATCAAACTATAGTTCCCTTTTATTACTGGGGGAAAAAAATCGTACATATGTGCATACAACCTGTTTAAGCTACAAGAGTACCTTTAGGTGTTCCATCACTTCCAGCTGGAGAGCACACTGACTGAGGTGACCGCAAAGAAAAGGATGCAGCATTCCTTATTGAAGAATCACCATCCTAAAACAGTGATAATGTATATTATAAACTTTGTTTCTAAAAAAAAAAAAGTCTAATCAGCAAAAAATACTGGGAAGGAGGTCACAAAACAACTGTCAAGACATTTAAGACTCTTTGGAGTTTAGACCCTTTTCATTATATTTTATGTGTATTTTAGAATGAAATCAGAGTCTAGCAAGGACTAAAAACAGCACATGCAAAAAATAAATATGAATTAGTGGAAATATGTTTTAGCTAAAAACAACACTTTATTTTGGATTGTCATGAAAAATTATACATATTGAGAAGCTCTCTGATATTAGCACTCATGCCGAAGAGCTAACAAACACAAGCCTGAGCTCCCGTTAATACCAACCCCGCCCCCTCCAAAAAGATGAGAACACTAAAAATGTGTTTTAGAACAAAATCACGTTAATTTAATTCTAGATCTTGAATCACTTGTCCAGACAGCTGAAGTATGAGTTGTAATGACTCAAGTTAAGGTAGAAAGTGAGCACTATCACTATAGGAACTAATTTTAAAAAACGATATGGTGTGCTGTATTAACATCCCACGCTCATTACTTTTTCCATTACTCATTTTGCACAGATTAGCCTGGTCCCACATTAAGACAAAATATCTGATAATATTCACAATTATAGGACATATTACCAAAATGAAAGGAAATGTCCTAACTTTTAGGTGAGAACTTTCATACATTAATATGACATGAAAGACAGAATGCAATTTAACCGATTTCTCATTCATCTTTCTCCTCACTTCTGTTGCATTAAAGGAAAATTGTAGAGCCTTCTGGTGATCAAAATATATCTTTCTATTCATAAGATTAACTAACTACTGGGTGAAATTGCAATAGTGCAACAACTTGCATTATTGTTGTCCCCCATCCCTTTCCTTAGCACACTTTAGAGAAAAAAGTCTTTTCAGAGCAGTTCCCGTGTTTAAAAAAAGAATAAATGGGGACAGAGAAAGCCATTTGGCTTTCTATACCAACTTAGGAATAGTCTCAAAGGGGTAGTTATGTTAACTCATTTTATTTATTTTATATAAATAAAAATATAAAGTATTGTGGGCAAACCCCTCTTCTCATCTGAAGAAGAGGGTTTTGCCTACAATTACATATATGAGTTATTTGTTAGTCTCTAAGGTGCTACAGGACAACAACTTGGGAACAATTATTGTTTTAACCACTGAAGTTAAATTAATGAAATCAAGGTTGAAATTAATGAAAAGAGCTCCAAATTAGTTAAGGAAACTGTCAAGTTAAACCAGATACAGGTAACACTAATATTCTAATATGGCTTTTTAATTCTTAAACCTGTGTTTTATTTCATTTTTTCTAACTTGCAAAGCATTCTATATCAGATATTTGTTTATACAAGTGATATCTGAAATTCAATCTCTACATTTGCATATGTAAAAGGAAAAGTTAAATAGTGCTGCACTAGTAAACACTTGCTTTCCCAACAATGCATGGGGAATGATATATTTCATCCTTGCAATCAGTACTACGAAGGAAACACACCTTTATAGATGTACAGCATTCAGACTCTAAACACACAACTTAAAAGTATGCATTTTTAACTTTTCCGTGGTACACTAAGACTGTATACATTCTATTGGTCCAGGGCTTGCTAATTTTGTTTTAACATTAAAAATTACAGGACTAATTTGTGTCATACATGGCTTAATATCAGGGCACAATGATATCTGAAAAAAGTTTAGAAATGTCAGCTCAGTTGTTTTTGATTATGAATATATAATGGCTCATTTTGAAAGCTGTCAATTTTGTCTCTAACCAAATAAGGGACTTAAGTAAGTGCCTACTTTTCTAAAAATAGGTATGTCCTAAATGTGGGACAATTTTTTAAAATGAGTATACACTCAGTAGTTTTTAAAAAGGCATAACTTTATTATTTACTTTATTTTTAAGCAGACAAAACGTTAACAATAGGAAAAACACTGTAGCAAATATTCAGAGACCAGCAGGAAGATAATTTCGATCATTTAGACTTCCTCATATCTAATTTTTATGATTCAATAGTCCTCAGTTATGATTGTGTGCGTGCCAAGGATCTACTACAAGGTGTTTCAGTATTATTAAAAATATATTGCCTATATTTTAACTGGGAAAAGAAAAGATTACTCACTCTGTGCAGTAATGGGGTTCTTTATAAGATGCATGTCCCTATGGGTATTCCAGTGTAGCCAAGGCAGTGCCTTCTGCAGCTGGAATCAAGAGAGCTGTAGCAGTCCCTGTTAGGCCACACATGCACTCCTCCCATCTTGCACTGTGTGACGCATGTACATAGTGTTGCACAGTCCAACTAGCCTCAGTTCCTTCGCTACTGCAGAGTTGCTATCAAAACTCTGGAAAAAGGGGAGGAGGGCAGATAGTCGAGAACCCATAGGCAGACACATTTTCAAGAACGTCAGTTACTGCACATGGTGAGTAAACTCTTCTTCTCTGAGTAGTATCTCCATTGGTGCTTCACTGTATATTGCTGCAGAATAGTGCCCCTATGAGGAAGACTGGACCTACAGTGTGGCATTCAATAAGGAAGAGAAGACAGTGCAACCTAGAATGGCATCAGATGTTGTGTCATAGGTAATTGCAGTGTTGGCTAAAAGTGCTTGCGAATGCTCAAGCGGCTGCTTTACATATGTCAGCATTCAGTAGCTTATTGAGAATGACAATAGAGGTGGACAGGTAGCCAGTGGAATATGCTCAAATTCCAGATGAGGGTATCTGGTTGTGGAGTCGATATCAAAGGTATATCCACTGAGAAATCTACTTGGAAAACAGTTGTTTAGAAATTACCATTCCCTTTGAGCATCCAGTCTTTGAGAGGAATAAGCATTGCAATTGTCCAAAGGTTTGATTCTATCCAGGTAAAAGGACAATTCTCATCTAACATTCTGGGCATGTAGTGTAGCTTCCTGCTGGTGGCTGTGTAGAAATAAGCAGATGGATGACCACCTCATGTTGTGTCTCATGATGGTGTCACTTGTATAGATATATGGACAGAGTTGGCAATGGTGTTTGTTTTCAAGAGTAAGTTCCTGGGTGAGTGGCTCTGTGGCTGCTAGTAAGTATTTGCCTCGGGTTGGGGGAGTGTGTGTACAGAAGGTATGCCACGAAGGTTCCCATTAATATGACTAGTTGAGCACATGAGAATGTTTTCATAGGGAGATGGATGTAGCAGCATGTTGCCATGTGCTCAAATACTGGTCTGGAGAGAATGCCAGATGAGATTGGGTTCCAAGGTCAGGTAGGATGTCCTATGTGAGTGTAAACATTTAAAAGACCCTTTAGGAATATATGATTGAGTGGGTAAATAATAAAATCATAGGACTAAAAGGAACCTCAAGAGGATGTTTAGTTCAGTCCTATCCTGAGTGGAGGATACTATGTATTATCAAAACTATTCCTGACATATATCCCTGATCTCCATACACAATTTATTCCAACATTTAGCCACCCTCACAGCTAAAAAGCTTTTACTAATGTCCAATCTAGACAACCTTTGCTGCAATTTCAATCCACTGATTCCTATCCTATCCTCAGAAGTTAGGAGCTTTTTTCCTTCCTCCTTGTAGCAATCTTTTATGTACTTAACAACTATTACGTCCCTCTTCTCTTCTCCAGGCTAAAAAACCCTTCACTTGTAGGCCATGTTTTCTAGACTTTTAATTATTTTTGTTGTTCTTTTCCGGACTTTCTATAATTTGTCCACATATTTCCTGAAAAGTGGCATCCAGAACTGGACACAATATTCCCGCTGAGACCTATTTAGCACAGAGAAGACAGGAAGAATTACTTCTCGTATCCTGCTTATGACACTCCTGCTAATATATCCCAAAATTATTATTGCTTTTTTGCAAAAGTGTTGACTTTCATTTAGCTTGTGATCCACTATGACACCCATATCCCTTTCTGCAGTACTTCCTGAGGAGTCGTTTCCCATTTTGCATGTGTGCAACTGACTGTTCCTCACTAAGTAGAGTACTTTGCCTCAGGTTGGGGGAGTGTGTGTACAGAAGGTCCTTATTAAATTAAATCCTATTTGCTTTAAACCATTTCTCTAGTTTGTCCAAATCATTTTGAATTATAATCTTATTCTCCAAAGCACTTGCAATTCATCCCATCTCATTAACATTTGCAAACTTAATAAGTGTACTCTCTATATCATTATCTAAATAACCAATGAAAACATTGAACAGAAGCATAAATTATCCATGTAGCACCCCACTTGACTGTGAACCACTGGTAATTACGCTCTGTGAATTGTTTTTAATCAGTTATGCATCCACCTTATAAAAGATCCATCTAGATAGTATTTCCCTAGTTTGTTTATGAGATGGTTATGTGAGACAGTATTCAAAAGGCATACTAAAGTCAAAATAAACCACATCTACCACTTTCTTCCATTCATAAGTCTTGTTTCCTGTCTAAGGTGGCATGTAGATTGGTTTGACATGATTTTTTTCTTGACAAATATATACTGATACTTGCAGTGGAGCATCATCTGCACCAGTGGGTGTTTGGCAAGTGAAAAAACTCTTGATGCTTAAGAGCATTCCCTTGAGCAGCCAGTAGATGGCATAGAGGGTTTACTCAATGCTGACTATTTACTTGGTGCAGAGGATTTCATTGGTGCTGAAGCATCTGGGGTTGACTAAGATAAGGCAGTCAGTGCTCTTTTAGTAGATCTTACACTGTGCTTCTTAGCCCCTGAGAGACAGCATGCCTGCCTGCAGTCCTCCTCTTTAGGCTTCTTGGACCTCTCTTTAGCTCCCAAACCAAAGGTGCCCCTGAAGAATGATGAGGCTTCTGACCTCAAGGGGACGGCTTTTTCTGAAGTGGTTCCAGGGAATGTAGCAGCCCATTTCTTCCCATCTGAGTGGGAAAGAAAATATTTTTTCTCAGATGATCTGTATGAGGGGCGTCAGATGATGATTGAGCTCGGGGTGAGAGTCACATAGGAGATGTACCTAGACTGGGGTTTGATGCTCAGTGCAAGAAACTTTCCACAATGAGAAGTGTCAATATAACATTATTATCCTTTGTGCCCAAGCATAGAAGATGATGTGGTAGGAGCACTTCTGTTGTAGTTGAAGGCTTCCTAAACAGGAGAGAGACCTCTTGAATCGTGGAAGATCCTGGTATATTCCAAGAGGGAGAGGATCTAGTCAGAGGGCAGGAAGTATTTCATAAAATGGCAAGGGAAGACAGTTTTAAGAGAGAAAAACAAACAAACAAACAAAATATACTAAGGCTATATCTGCATTTGCAGGAAAATGGACACTACATCAGTCAATCTTCCTGCATTTGATTTAGCAGATATAGTAAAGACTGGCTAAATCGACTACTGAGGATGCCCTTGTTGGCACCGGTACTCCTACTCCTCAAAAAGAGTAAGGGAAGTCAACAGGAGCATTTCTGCAGTTGACCTCCTGCTGAGGCAGAGACTAATTGCATTTTCACATGCTGCTTCTAAATTACGAAGATAATATTACTGCTTTCATATGAAGTTATGGATTTTCCATTAACTGTTCATTGCTTGCTTGGTGAACACTCAATTATTGATATTCTGAAAACAGTTCGCTTACTGCATGCTTGTTTTTAATACACAAGAATGATGCAGTTGATTCACCCTCCCTTGGTTTTACTGAGTTAACTGTGCTCAGAGTTTTAGGGATGCAGGTTTTATCACAATTGTGGTCCTCTGTGAGATAGTGACACACTTGTATAGAGTGTCTTATGTCTCCCTCCCCATCTTACTGGCTAATTTATACAGATAACTGCCTACTACTGATGCAAAGTAATGTAGCTAGTTGATAGAGGCTAGTCTTGATGCTGAATATCCCAAGTTTATGTCCCTTATAAACTGTAGTGGGCATTATTAACACCAACACAGCTTAAGAACTGATGTCAAAACAAAATGTGAAACTCTAATGTATTCCACTCAAAACAAATTCTTTGTGGTTCTTATACATTATGCTTATAAAGAACCACTTCAACAAGATGCATACCCAGAGTAGGGAAAATGTTGGCAAGATGAGGAGCTCATTAAGTGGAATATTTATCACCAATTTAGGAAAGAATCTGGGGTGAATTCACAGCATCACTCGTCTTTAAAATCTATAAACTAGCGCATCACATTAGAACATGAAATTCACCTTCCTTTATATGAACCGAAGTCAAGATGCCAAGAAAATAAATTTCCATGCAGGATTCTTGAGCACACAGGTATTGAGCAAAAATTTTAAAAAATCAAAAGATACTTTTATCAGGTCTGACAGGATCATATCACTATCTAACAGAGGTGACTTTTTAATAGGGCGTTTTAAATGTATTGTGAAACCAACAAAGTGCTGCAGACCTATGTCCATGTCACAGTATTTGAGCAACTGAAACAAGGCAAAATTAACTCTTAAAAATAAATATTGCAAAAATGATTTCAAGCACAACAGAAACTGAAAAATTAAATAGATTAGCTGTTTTAAAATGAAAACAGAATCCTAGAAAAGTATTTCATTTTTTTAGACCAGTCACATAATTCAAAAATTTTCAAACATTTCTTTTCATATAAAAAAAGTGTTGATGTGTGTAACATACATCACTACTTAGTCTGTGCACCATCTGTAGGTAGTCTTCATTTGAGCCATGTCTAGAATTATCAGCATGGTGATTAGCTGAATTGCCAGACAACTGACTTGAAACTTTATTTTCATGTATGTTCCTCATGCCACCTGAGACAATGGGACTGGATACTGACGCTGAAATAAGACAAAAACATAATTATACAAATAAAATACAATATTAAAATATTTTAAGTCCAGTTAATAATACATGTAAGAGAGAAATCAATGACAGGTTTAGCAATCAAATTAATTCACCAGTTCTGCTCAGCAACAAGTAGCTACAAGAATGCTGAACCAACCTTCACCAGGAATTTATTAAATTGGGCCAGTCTAACCAATTATGTTTACTCAATTAAAGATATTTGTATATTGTACAAGATTTTTTTAATAGCTTAGACTTGCATTTATTAACAGTGGAGAAGTTAGAGGTGTGAATAAAGGGTGAACACTCATGGATCAAACCAGAAAACTGCAAATAGCTAGACACATTTGTTAATGACAATGTTCCACTGCAAAGAAAGAAAGTTTAGAAAAATTCCTTGACTAAAGGTGAAAGATTCTATCATCACAAGACTAGATTAAAACATTCAAGATATGTCTCAAAAAGAAAACATGAGGCGGCACAACATGCAGGGGAAACAGTAGGCCTATATCAACAGAAATACACAAAATGCCTACTCCTGTAGGTAGCAAAATAATATTTTGTTCTTTATACTAATGATAAGACAGAAGCTAATGTTTTATTTAAGTGTTCTCTGTCTTAGGCCAAGTGCTTAAATGTTATGAAAGAATGCTGGGGCTCAAGCAATTTTTTTCCATTTATAACTAATGTAGCAAGCCCAAAGGTGCTGGGACTATGAACTGATAATCCTAGAGGTACAGGGACACAGCCAGACACAAAAAAAATCTTCTAGAGCTTTCCTTTTCATGATATCCGAGTACATTTCCACTTGTTTGTTTTAAACCTATTAATTTCCTTTGGTGACCCCTAGTTCTCATCTTATGGGAACAAGTAAATAACTTTTTCTTATTTTCTTAACTTTTTCTGATTCACCTTATCCATGTGTGTCATGATTTTGTAAGCCTCTGTCATATCCCCCCTTACTCTCCTCTTTTCTAAGCTAGAAAGTACCACCCTTTTTAACCTCTCTTCATATGGGATCCATTCCAAACCCCTAATCATTTTTGTTGCCTTTTTCCGAACCTTTTCTAATACCAATATGCCTTTTTTTGAGATGAGGTGACCACATTTGCACAAAGAATTCAAGATGTGGTCATACCATGGCTTTATATAGAGGCAATAAGATGTTCTCTGATTCTCTATCCCTTTTTTAATGATTCTTAACACTGTTTCCTTTTTTGATTGCCTGCTGCATATTGAGTGGATGTTTTCAGACAACTATCCACAAAGACTCCAAGATCTCTCTCTTGAGTTGTTATAGCTAAATTAGTCCCTTTCATATTGTATGTATAAGTTGGGATTATTTTTTCCAACGTGCATTACTTGACATTTTCCAACATTAAATTTCATGGGACATTTTGATGTCCAATCGCTTAGTTTATGAGCATTTTGAAGTTCTTCTCAGTCTGCTTTGTTCTTAACTATCATGAGCAGTTTGGTATCATCTGCAAATTTTGCCACCTCACTCTTTACCCTTTCTCCAGATCATTTATAATTAGGTTGAACAGGATTGATCCCAGTACGGACCTTTGAGGGACACCACTAGTTACTTCTCTCCATTCTGAAAACTAACTATTTAACCCTACCCTTTGTTTCCTGTGTTTTAACCAGTTATCAATCCATGAGAGGACCTTCTCTCTTAACCCTGTAGAACTGTCCGCATCTCCAGTCAGACAGCCTCTGTGCTGTTATGAATGAAAGGCTTAGGAAAGGAGAACAGTCAACTGGAGCAGAGGGAATTGCTTCCATAGCTGGGACACTCCTTGCAGATGATGTTATGGTATCCTCTTGCACTGAGGATACATCTCTGGGGGAGGGAACTCCAGTCATTAGGAAAAGGCAGGTGCTAGTAATGGGGGATTCAATCATTAGAAACATAAATAGCTGGGTTTCTGATGACCGGGGGAACCATATGGTGATTTGCCTGCCTGTTGCAAAGGTTGCGAATCTCTCGAGACATCTAGATAGACTTATGTAGTGCTGGAGAGGAGCCAGTGATCATGGTACATGTAGGTAACAAAGACATAGCGAAGGGTAGGAGAGAGGCTCAGGAGGCCAAATGTAGGCTGCTAGAACAGAGATTGAAATCCAGGACCTCTATATTAGGGTTATCTGAAATGCTTCCAATTCTATGTGCAGGGTCAGTTAGGCAGGCAGATCTTCAGATCTCAATATGTGACTGATATGATGGTGTAGAGAGGAGGGGTTTAGATTTAATAGGAACTGGGGAAACTTTTGGGATAGGGGAAGCCTATACAGGAAGGATGGGCTCCACCTAAACCAAAATGGAACCAGACTGCTGGCACTTAACATTAAAAAGGCTGTGGAGCAGTTTTTAAACAAAGGGCTGGGGGAAAGCCGACAGGTGCAGAAGCGCACATGGATCGGACAGACATCCCTTAGGGGAGGGTTTATGAATAGAGATTCTCTATGTTCTAGTAAAGAGGAAAGGAAATAAAGACTGAATAAATGGACTGTAAGGTGGATAGAAAGCTGGCTAGATTGTCGGGCCCAAAAGATAGTGATCAACAGCTTGATGTCTGGATGATGGTTGGTTTCAAGTAGAGTGCCCCAAGGACTGGATCTAGGGCTGGTTTGTTCAACAGCTTCATTAATGACCTGGAGGAGGGGATGGATTGCACCAAGCAAGTTTGCGGATGACACTAAGTTAGGGGGAGAGGTAGATACGTTGGAGGGTAAGGATAGGGTGCAGAGTGACCTAGACAAATTGGAGGATTGGGCAAAAAGAAATCTGATGAGGTTCAACAAGACAAGTGTGGAGTCCTGCACTTGGGATGGAAGAATCCCAAGCATTGTTACAAGCTGGGGACCAACCTGCTAAGTAGCAGTTCAGCAGAAAACGACCTGGAGATTACAGTGGATGAGAAGCGAGACAGGAGTCAACTGTGTGCCCTTGCAGCGAAGAAAGCTAATAGCATATTAGGGTTCATT